ATATATATATATATATATATATATATATATATATATATCTGAATGTATATTCTATTTATGATGCTTTAAAAAAGTTGTGATACTTTCTTACTTATCGTTTCTTTCTGTGATACTTCTTGTAGCAAATGTAGTTTCACGAAATACATAATGTTTTGACTCAATGCTCAATCTAGCGTTTATCTGTGACTTTCCTGGATTAACTATTCTAAGTTTAAGGTGATTTTTACTACAGTATATCATGTATTTTCCGAAGCTTTTCATAAGTAAAAGTTTTGAGGTTATTATTTATGTTTTCAACTGACCAGTTATTAAAAAATGGAAGTATTTCGTCTTAGAAACGATGTTATGTTTTATATGACCGTTTTACACGTTGTATCATTTATATAAATTTTATCAAGTCATTGTTTTTATGTGTTGTGTCTTATTAACCTGAGTGGGTGTCATAAAACTTGATTTATTTATAATCGAGAATAAATTTTTCCTGCTTATTGCTAAAATTCTTTTTTGTAAGAAACAACAAATTGTGTAAATATGATCTAGAGTCATTCATGTGTAGTCACTGGTAATATAGAAAGCGGAAACGTATGCATTTTTTAGTTTCAGTCTTAGACAGTGTATCAAGAAAAAATTCTTTGCAACACGTGCATAGTTTTGCGGATAAAATCTTGTCCCGTCTGTAATATTCACCATTCCGCTTCATCAGATACGTTGTAGGACAGTAATTATCCCTACTTATGCACCTTTACAATGACAGCAAAACATTCCTTCTTTTGGCGTTCACTCCCTCATGGAAATCTAGAAGTCACTGTGAATGTCTCCTCGATAATAACTGAAATCAATTCACCAGGTACGTTATAGGACAGCCATATAACGTTTTGCAATTGGGCTTTGAATGTGTGTGTTCTATATTGTACATATGACTAGTCTAGGAGCTGCAAGACTAAAAATTTCTGGATCTGATGATGAGGTTTTGTTTCTTCATTTGATTGTGATGAAACGGAATGGTGAAGAAGTGTAAAAAGTCACATTTATTTTCTGAAGAGAAGGTTCGTTTTTGGAAGGAAACTATTTTAACATCGGATCTCTATTAATTTCAGTAGATAGAAAAGGGCTGAAAATTTGCAGAGACAATACTGAAATGTAGCTGGGAAAATAATTGAATGGAACTAATGGATTTGTGGGATATGTATTTCGTGGTTTGTATAGTTCGTTTGAAAGCAAATAGTCATTGGTTTACCATCTGGAAGTTACTTGTCAATAAAACCAGTGGCGAAGAAGGCGTTATGGCTTCTGTGTTTAAGAAAAATTCAACGGTTTTTCTGAAAAGTTTGGTAGCAGGTGTTGTGTTGTTGCTTAAAGTGTATTGTGCTTAAGCAACAAATGAACTACAAAAATGAGGTTCTTATAAGATCAACGACTCACTGCACATTGAAATCATCTGCAACTGGGAACAGCAGTTCGAAATTGAGTGATGCATTCAGGATTTCAGTGCTAGTGCACTTCCATGTCAGTTTCTTGATGGCATTTCTATAAATCACGTTTTTCTTACAACGCAAATATTTGTACAAGGTAAAGCTGTGAGATATAGAGGGTGAACGTCACAAGTAATAATAAATGCCGGAAATGTGTTTCATAAAATTAAACTAATATAAGTCGTCATCAGCACTATATCACACCAATATATTACTAACAGCAACAATTCAGTTCAGCGCAAGCGTTCATCTAAGATTTGAAATTTTTTCTTCAGAAGTCAAATTATTCCAAAGATTTATTTCCAAGTTAAATTTTCATAGTGTGAGCTGAAATTGCATGCAGAATTGCGATAGCACGCATCAGACGTGCATTTCAATCGAATATTGATACATCGATCAGCGGGGTTGAATGATTTGAATGCTTCACATTTATGTGAGAAATGAATTATCTGCAATTTGTGATGTAGTGATTTGAGAGCAGAAATAAAATTATTGCAAAGATAGATAGATAATAGGAATGTTGCTAAAGAGGAAATGCATTGTGTATTTTTGCTGTGTTGACTGACTACTCACTACTCATCTATCCATATATGAGAATATTCTGACGCTTTAGACAGCAGTAGAACGGCAACTGATGCTCTCTTGCAAGACAAGACACACTGAATCGAACCACAAAGAAGGCAGACTGTGTTGTGCTTCACTACCAATTGATTGTTCTCTCAACTTCCTTCTCTCTTTCTCTTCTTCTCTTGCACGCTGAAATTGTCTTCTTTGCATCCCTCTTTCTCCCCTTCCCTTTCCATCCACATTCTGAGCTTATCTTCTCCGATACGAGTGCTTCACGCACTCTTTTCTTTCGCTCGTCCTGAGAAGTTTGCTCACGTTGCAGAAGTAGATAAGTGTAGCAGGGAGAAATAGTACTGTGAGATGTGCTGCTGATTTTATTGTTGAGTATTGCTGTTGATATTTTTGTCGTTTAGTTTTGGGCTATGAGAAGAATACTTCTATAATTTCGTATCAAAATAAAACTTATTTTTGTGATAATTTCAATAGCCTTACACACTCATTCTGTAATTGTGACATCTGTCAACTTTTAATTTAATGAAAATTTTTTTTATTTAGTTTGAAGCAACTTTATTTGCCACCAATATGCCGTATTTAACAATCGATACAAACGTGCCTCGAGAACAAGTTACAGTGGAATTTTTAAAGAAGGCATCGAGTACAGTGGCTAAAGCACTTGGAAAACCAGAAAGTGTGCGTTGCTTTATACAGCAGATTATCTTCTTTTGTACAAGTAATTAAAAGATTTTAAGGCAATAAATGTGTAGAGATAAAATATGAGCATAAATTTCGATAGTTAGAAACAAGTGCGTTTATTTTAGAATTTTGTGCTGAAGTATTTCGATTCTGGTTATGTTAATTGTATATCAGCTGTGCATGGTCACTATATTCTTGAGATTTAGGTAAATTCCAAAATTTGAATTATTTAAAGGTTTATCATTTTTTCAATTTAAGTCGGCTAAGAATTTTCTAAAACTGTAACTACGATCATAGCCGACCATTTTCGAGATCACCTATGTGGTCAAGAGGTTTGTACCTCATTTTCTTATATTAATAAATCAATTAGGAGTACCTTACTACGAGAGTGTTTCCTCTTCTTGCAGAACTTAGTATCAAACTTGTAAAATAAGGGTGTACACGTTATTAGTGTAATACATGTTGCTGACATTTATTAGCTCTTTGACTCACTTTAATAAGTGTAATTAGTCTTCTGTTTTTTACTTATTTTTACTTTTATAAAAAATGTGTAATGGTTGACAATTAGATTTTTATTGGCATTCATTGATTTAAGTATGTGTCTGTCCATGTGAATAGCGGACAGTTGATGACCTTTGGTGGTTCCACGGATCCATGCGCTGTTTGTGTTCTGAAGTCGATTGGATGCGTTGGTGGCAGTGTCAATAATTCACATGCTGAAAAATTGTTCAGTTTACTGAGTGCTGATTTGAAGATTTCCAAAAATCGGTCTGTTACTTATTTTATCTTATATGTCTAACAAAGCTCACTTAGCTTTAATTGTGAATCTCATATTTAACGACATCTGATTACGTGTCAAAAGTCCCAATCTCATTTCATTAAATTCCAGTGAAAATGAGAATATTTTCAGCTGCTACATTGAATTTGTTGACATAAAAGCATCCGAAATGGCTTTCAATGGACGCACCTTTGGATAAAAGCTTCTCGTAGATACAATAAATAGCAATTTTTAAATTGTTCAGTGGTTCTGCGTTGGTTGATTAAATGTTTTGCTATTTTGAAAACTTTGCTATATTGAGTAAGTCATATTATTCTTTTACTGAATAAACCGTTTATTTGTCAAGTCATATTATTCTTTTACTGAATAAACCGTTTATTTGCTTGTTAGTTTCTGCATACATCAAGGAGTCAACTGAATAGTCGGAGTTTTATATGTCAATATACTTGGGAATTTTGAGTACTCTGCGTCATATTCGGACAAAAAATTTGATTTTATAATGATTGAATCACAAAGATTCTGTGGACGGATGGCTTGAGCACTTCCTTGTTTTTTGTCTCGAAGTTATTTTTGGCGATTTGAATTTCTGGATATTAAAGATTCACCATTTCAACTCTGTGGGTAGACCATTGTTCAGCACATAGTTTTTGATTTTGTCAAATACTCAGTGCAAAAAAATAGGTGATTTTAGACACATTTGTGATTGTCTGAGATGATATGGGCAGAATAAGCTGATTCGCCTGTGCGAAATTTGGTGAAAATAACACATCTGATAGTGCGACTTTAGAGATTGTAAGGTGCCGTAAAAAGGATGCCTATTAGTCATGTGTTAAGTGTAATTTTCATGATCGTAAAAAGGTGGGAACCAATTCACTGTTGCAGATTGCTTTTTCGTCTACCAGAAAATTGCCTTGAAGAACTCAATTTTAAATTTTTCGCAAGTTCGGAATAAACTTTTCTGGGATGGGTGCGTTGATGAGATTGAGTGTATTTAAAAACATTTTTTGCCAATGTCTATATTTTTAAAATATTCGAGTTACCCCGGCTTTTTTGCTGTCGTCTATGCAGCATATGGCATTAACAGAAGCAGAAGTGAAAGGAAGCCTTTTGTATTTCAGTGCTTAACTCATAATTGTCAAAAAATCTTTGTAGCTAAAAAGGGAAGCAGTTTCACTGAGTAATATGAGGAATGAAGAACTGTTTGGTTGATAATAGCATGGTGTCACTAGGTAGTATGCTGATTCGCGAGATTATTTTCATGCTTAATATTTGGTAGTGAAATGTTTACAAAAAATTGGCTTGATTTCGAAAGCAAGTGATGATTCAAATCAACTTGGGTGATGCCAGAAACTTCAGAGTGTAAACTCCATGTTGATTAAAAGTATTTTTTTAGTTATTAATGTAATACTAATGGAAGAAGAAAGCGATCATTAATGACGTATTTATAATATGTTGCTAACAAGGCGTAAATACCACAGTGCTAATATTAACGCTCATCTGTTATTGCCAATCTGTTAGAATTTTCTCTTTAATATTTTGTTTTAAATTTTCATAAATATTTATGTTTTCTTAAATAAATGAATAAGCAAATAGTGTTGAATGAGGATTAAGCATTCAGAGCAAGTAAAATTTGAAAATTTGTATTAAAAAAACTTTTTGAAGGAAAATAAAACTGCAAGTAAATCAATATCAAATTGTTAAAGTAATCATATCTTATTAAAGATTCCTTGAATCAACTACATTAAAATATTCTGAGGGTAAAAATTGAGACTGACTTATTACCAGTATTTACTTAAAGCTTTATCCAAGTTTTTTATTTTATTAGCATGTGAAATAATGCAATTTTTGATTGCATTTACAAGCTAGGGTTAACTGTATACTAATTTCATGTGAAGTGCTTGAATGATTTAACTTTGCTTAATTAAATAAACTAAAGTAAAGCAGTGTTAATTTTTGATATTACCTATGTACTGAATGGAAAGAACGCTTTATTATAAGTTTATTTGCAAGTAAATATAGTAAATGTAATGTATTGCAAATGATGTGATATAAATAATTAAATACTGTACTTCTTTCTTTATTATTGTAAGCAATAAGTAAGAGCATTGAATAGTAGCACTTTTTTGCATGCTAAATAAAAGGAAGGCAAGAAGAAGGATGGAAGAAGAGAGAATGTTAGTTGCTGCCGAAATAAGGGTTCCGCTCCGCCTCTGATTCCATTTTCGAGAATTGTTATTTCAGTATCACTTCTTTCAAACGTTTGCCATCATCACTCATAATACTAATACTGAAGTTATTTATTACTTTGACTTGATTTGATTTGTGTTAAATGCATTCATTGTAAATGAATCAAAATAGAATACGATATACTCTCATTGGAATCAAAAATAAATCGAATCAAACATTGACTTTCACTCACTCCTTCATTGTTACATTTTACTCCTTTATGAAGATGACTTATTTGCTTTCAGCTTGTTTCATCCACAATGATACTTTTTTGTTTACTTTGTCAGATTTCTTTTTTTGCCACACTCTTAAGCATATAAAAAAGAAAGCTGATCTCATATTATTTACTTTCTGTCAGTACTAACTCATTTTCTAAACTGACAGATTTTTCAACTACCTTTATCAGTCCTAAATAAGCATTTAGTATTATCCAATTCAGTCACATGCTGCAATCACAACTTGTTTATCTTTACACTTTCCACAATATTATTGAAATTATTGCTCTTGAAATATATTTCTAAAGAATCCTCAAAAATAATTAACCTTTGACATCTATCGTAGCCAAAAATACTCTTGCACAAATCTTGAACATGACTGTATCAATTTCGTGCATTCACTACAGCTACTACTAAATCTGTTTCTCTTCGTTTTTGTAACACTGATCGCTCTAAATGTGGTAGTACCTATCTTGAAGTTCTTTAAAGTGTGACTATTTTAATTTTGCGTTAGCATAATAATTAATGAGTAATTTATAATTATTGCAGTCTTTTTTGGAGGCTATGTATTGATGGTGCATATCTTGCAATTTGAAAGCTAATCAAGCTGGATACTATAAATATTGATAATTAATTTCTCTTGCTATCTATAAACCTTATTATAATCAAACAACAAGTCATCTATCTTGGTTATAATACTGTTTTTATAAATTAAAAAAAGTGCCTTATTAGTTGAATAGCTGTTGCTGACGGGCAAAAGTTACATATATCACTTATACGAAAATCACCCACGAAATATCTTTACTTATCAAGGAATTTCTGCAACAACATGGACTTCGGAATTGTCCTAACACTTTGGATGACATTGACAGTATCAGCTACTCAAGCTTTTCACTGTTTGGTTGTTAAACCTGGTAAGTAAGTTTAAATTAATCATTTCAAATTTTAGAATTCGACTTTTATTTTTTATTTTTAATCTCATAAAATTGGCTTATATATTTATTCATTTAGACTTTTAGTTATCAGTCACTAATGTATCAATCGGTACTTGTAATATTTTTTCTACCTGTGAATTAGCTGAACTAAACAAGAAAGCACCAGTATTTTCGGTGATTAAAAAAATAGCACATTGTGCAATTCCAAAATTTGATTCGCTGTATTGAATAGATGAAAACATACTATCTAGTGTCTTATCAGTTTTAGTCTATTTATATTTACTTCCTTCTTCATAGTGAGCAATTTGAATATTTGTTACTACATATCATGCATTACAACTATCTTAATATCTCAAGTAAATAGAACCAGCAACTAATTTCCAATGCAAAAAATAATTTGGCGACATATTGATCCCGAGAAGGAAAATGAAGAATTTTTTTGCTTTAATCTGCTGCCAAATGCAACGGGAAATTTTATGGCAATCGGTAACTGAATGCAATAACTAAGAAGAAATTGAAAATTTGAATTTAATTTGGATTAAAGTCATCTTTCGGATCAGTATTATACTAACTAACGAGAGGGAAATAAATTTCTCAAAATAATCTCACATATTGTTTAAATTATTGCTCAAAGTCTATATTATACGACTTATTGATTGGATATTTCGCAGGAAACAGTGTATAAATGTAATTAAATTATATCCATGTTTAGTTCATTTGAAATTAATTAAATTTGAAAAAATTTCTTTCCAAACAAAAATTTGATTTTGACATTGTATTTAAATTTCATGAGTACATTTTCAGTTATCAGGTCTGCTTATAGTTTAAATAATAACACAAAATGCATTTAGTAGTTATTTATTTTGCACAATTTTGACATTTTAATACCACAGCATTTGTATTTTCAAAAAATCTTCAATCAGTATAAATTAATGTGATATACAGTGTTTGAAATTTTCAGTTATCAGTAAATTTCTCATTTATGAGTTAGAATTGAGATTTAAGAACTTGATAAGATAAATTACTGATAATACTATTTTTTATACATTATTTCTGCAAAACTTATTTTCAAAATATTATCTCAACGATATTTGCAGAAACTTTTAAGTTTCATTACCGAAACCAAAATACTGAATAATAAATTTCTTTTTATATATTAAAAGTTTATTTTTTAAATAATAAATGACTACATTTTGCGTCTATCTAAAGTTAAATTGAAAATAGTATTTGAATAACTTGTTTTATTGATATTATTGCAAGTGTTATTTATTAATTAAAATGTAATATCTTGATGTAAATTTTCTGCAAGATATTCAATTTATTTCAAATAGACCTTAAATATATTAATAATATAATAGAGAACCAGTTTGTATCTTGTTTAGTTTTGGTGGTTTTGAATGCTTGCATTGTGATAATCAAGCAGTCAGTCATCATTAATATTGTCATCAATGCATGATAGTTATGAGCAGACGGGAGCGAAATTACTATGATTGAATAAATTAATCCAAAACTGACTAGTTTATGATTATAATTGTAAAGTTTCCAAAAAATAATAAAATCTAATTGTGTTGCAGTGATGTCTGATAACTATTTATGATTCATTCATCAATCCTCCAACTTTTAACGGCAGTGACTTTGCATCATAAAAATGGCAAATATTTAAGTGCTGAAAACTTTTGGCTCTTCCTAATTTATGCAATAAAAGTTATAAATTGCAATAAAAATTTATTAACAATTATTATATTATAAAACTTTAATGATAATACTATAAGATCATCAAAAAGTATCTTAATTTTTAATCACCTAGTAAAATTGGAACTAATTTTTGACTACCACATCTTGATTTTCTGTGTTCTGACCAAAAACCGTTATGACAATCACATAGTATACTTATTTATGTGCATGATTGTCAGTCAATTCAATATTAGTATTTCAGATTAAGATTCCAGTTAGTAGTCTTATTGGATAATTTGTGTAGGCTGAAGTAGCTTGGTGTATTACTCTTTCAAGCTTGTTAGCATTCATTGTTTGAAAATTCAAGTTTTTGATTTGAAAATAAATATTTGCTTGAAACTTTAGCTTGTTTCAGTTTCTTTTCTCATCTCCTTTTATTAGTGTTATAAATCAGAAAAAACTAAAATGCATCCTTTAGTTTATTTTCTCGCGAAATTTTGGATAGTATGCTGTTACTTAACTTTTCATTATCATTCTAAGAAAACCAAATAATTCAAGAAATTACTCAAAAACTATGTTTTATTCGGGCAAAATTTCTTATGAAAACATAAATATAGCATTTCATTGGAGCAATATGAATATAAATGCAATAAAATTTTGAGATATATTCTGCTCTGATTCACTCTTTTCGACTGTTTCCAAGGCAAATGATTGCTCTGCTGATGAATTTTTACAGTTTCGCTTGGCTATCAAATAAAATAAATAAGTCCTCTAGCAAGAATCACTGCTAAAGTAAAACTTTATACAAAGTTATCCTATTCAACTGACAACGTGTAATAATGAAGCAAACAAATTACTTTCATTGGAACATATCACAAAAAATGTAAGGAATGCTTGCATATTTTTGCTAAAAAATACCTTCTAAGGTAGAAGTGTATGATTTTAAGCTAAAATATGCGGCACAAATAGTATTTGATTTCGCATTTTTTGCTCGCTTCTGATAAATTCAAGAAAACTGTTTGCATTGCTTTTAAATCTTTTAGAAATTTAATTAAAAGCACAAAAAGAATGAATTGTACGATAGAGTGTTGTAAAAGTCATAATAAAAAGGAAAGGAGCGAATTTTGCTGGATTTGATATGCATGTGAAGAGTTAAAAAGTGCTAATTTTTGACTTATTTTTATGATTCAAAGCGAAAATTCTAAAATAGCTTTTTTGATTTCGCGTACTAATCACAAATTGGCAATAAAGT